ACAATGTATATTAAACTTACTCACTGTATTCCACGTATGCCTTTGCTTTTTAAAATATTTTCCATTCTTTAGTCTCTCTTTTAGTATATATATTTTGCACTGATATTATCATGTACCTTACAAATTCTGTCTTTGGTTCTGTTTAATTTGGTATTTTATCTAGACATTAGGTCCTTAATTCTTAATTTTTTCATATTATTCAGTTTTAGAATTTCATTTAGTTCCTAACAGTTCTGTCCTTCTTTTCAACTCTTTGTCTTTTATATTTTTGAACATATTATACATAGCATTTTAAAGTCTGTCTGATAACTCCATTATCTGGATTCCTTATGGATCTGTTTCTGTTGTCTACAGTTTCTCTTAGATTTTAGTTTCATTGTATTTCCCGCTCATTTGTCTGTTGGTTTGTTTTTTTTTTAAACTGAATGTATGACATTAGAAATGAAACATTTTAGAGGTGATCTGAAGCCCATGAGGATGATTAACTTGTTTCTGCAAAACAGCTAGGGGTATTACCAACCCTAGATTCCAATAAGAGACTAGTAAAAGTCAAAGTTGGGTTTGAGACTCTAAAAGACCAGTCTATTCTTTAACTAGTTTCACTAGCATCAGAGTCTTGAGGGACATAGTGTAAATGGGAATTCCCAGACTTACTGATTTAATTTTGGAGGAAGACACATTTCAATATTTTATGCATACTAAAGTTTGAAAATTACCTAACAGGGTGAGTAAATTTCACCCACTTAAAAAAAAAATGCATGATCTCCTAGAAGATTTAGATTTTTTTTCTTTCTACCTGTGTGATGTTTCCATGATTTTTTTTTTTTTTTGCTTAACTTTGCTTTTCAGACACAAATTTCAAGAAATGCTAACAAAACCTCTTTGAAAACATAATGCCAATGAAGCTGTTGGTTGATCTATTTACCGTTAATAATAGTGGCTTGTACTGTATAGTATACTACATTTATTAAGGAAAAAAATATATTAAGGTTAAAAGTAATACAGGTTAAAACATATGGAGATATTTCAGACACAGGTTTTCTTTTACCTCAGAAATGAAGCTCTTCTTCTAGACAGTCTTACAGCTAATTAGCCTATCCTTCAAATGTTCAAACACTCAATTCTCCAGCAACATAGATAAAACTATAGACCTTTTTATACATATAAGGCTAGCATTCCTGAAAGAGAGGAATCCTAATTCTGAAAAGACTACAAGAAAAGACTGAGTGAAATTAAGAAAGTAAATTAAAGGCACATTCTACTTAGAAAATAATATTCAACCCTAACCTAAAGCACAAATATACAAATAAAAATAGTTAATATAGCAACTTTATAGCAGCAGTTTCAAATAAATCCAAATATGGTTTGGTCTACCAGAGGTTTATACCTATGTGTTACATAATTGATCTTTTTAATTGTTTCCATGTAGAGGGAAAAGACCCAAATAATTATGCTCAGAGATTCTGGTTCTCCCTCCAACTTTTCCTTTTCCCTTCACTCCCCTCCCCTCCCCTCCCAAATACATTTATCAAACACTTGTGTAATGTTGGCAGATCTACTTTAAGTGTTTGGTCGTCTTCTACTATTGCAGTACTTTCATAAATTACTTTTTAGTTCCAAAAAGTAAAGAAAATCATTCCTTTTCTATTCTTCTAGACCATAATTGTAAAGCTTTAAAATAGTTAGAAAAATATTTGCATTTTCAAGTGTTTAAAAAAAAAACTATGCTGCAATATATTTCTTCAAGTTTTAGTTTCTTTCTAATTGTCTAATTGTTTCATCAAAAAAGCAGTGCTGCCTTGGCCAGTGTGGCTGAGTTGGTTGGGGTGCTGTCTCATATACCAAAAGGTTAGGGGTTTGATTCTCGGTTAGGGCACATACTGAGGTTACTGGTTCGATCCCTGGTAGGGGCATGTATGAGAAGGAAACAATTAATGTTTCTCTCTCACATCCATGTTGCTCACTCACTCCCCTTTACTCTCTTTCTAAAATCAATACATACATTAAAAAAAGAAAAGTAGTGCTGCACAGTGGTTAAGAAAACAAAGTCAAGTTGCCTTAGTTTGTAAACTGATGTGTCTTTCTAAAAGACCCTGAACGTCTCTACTTCCCTTCCCATTTCCTCATCTATAAAACGGAGAGGATAATACTTACACCTCACAGGGTTTTCTATGAGGATTAATTTGGTTAATAATGTTTACAGTAGTCCCTTTTTATCCAAGGGGAAAACATTCCAGGATTCCCCCACCACCAGTGGATGCCTGTAACCATGAACAGTATTGGACTTATATATACAATGTTTTTTCCTATACATATGTACATACCTATGATAAAGTTTGTTTATAAATTAGGCACAGTAAGAGATTAATAATAACCAATATGAAAGAACACACAATACACTGAAACGAACAGTATGTGAATGTGGTCTCTCTTTCTTTAGCCAATCTAATGATTGAAAAGGCTACTAAGTAAGTAACAGGCAGGCAGCAAATACAGCATGTATATGCTGAACAAAGGAATGATTCACATCCCAAGCAAAATGAAATGAGATGATGTGAGATTTCAACATGCTATATAGAATGGTATACAATTTAAAACTTATGAACTGTTTAATTTTGGAATTTTTCCATTTACTATTTTTGGATCATGGTTGACTGCACGTAATTGAAATGATGAAAAGTAAAATCACAAATAAGGAGGCACTACTTTTATAGGCTTATAATAGTGGCTGGTACATAGTAATCCCTCTGTATGTGTTAGCTGTTAATGTACAGCATACAGTAACACTTTAATAGTCTTTATCTTAAAGATAACTGACAATGCTTCAAGTGATTGAATTAACAATAATGTGAATTATTAAAAAAAATTTTTTTAATCAGTTATTTTTAATAGGTACCTTTCGTGCTATTGGTTCCTGGCCTTCCATCAATGTGTACCAGCTGACAAGTTTATTCCAGCCCTCAGTTGGCAATAGTATGTAATCCAATTCATCAATAAGATGTTCCTTCAGTGACTGGGCATCACCATCTGCAAAAGAAAAAAGCAAATTCAATATATAAAAAGAAACAGTAGTACATACCTCTAAATACTCTGGTTATATACATCACAAATTACTTAAACTCATGAATACTAATTTAAATATTTAAATAAGCTTTGAAGGAAGATCTGAAAAGGTTCATCTCAAACTCTATATATTCCAAAATAAACTGTTGCTTTAGAAAATTACAATGGTTAGTGTTAGTCAAGCAAAAGTGTTTAAAATCATAATTTTTCCTGTATTAGGCTCTTAAAAATATAATGAAGTGTAATTGTTAGCCAAGCAACCTTGAAAAAGTGTTTCCCAAATATTTTAAGTGGCAGAGAACCCTGACATGGTAATTGCGGTCATTCCAGCATTAGCTGACGAAGGAAGCTCAAGAACAAGTCAATATCCTATCACAATGACTCCAAAGCACATGAAGATGGAAACCATGACAGAACTCACAAAAGGACATCTTGTGAACCAACTCATTATTCCAGAAAGCCCATAGTTAGACTCGTCCCCAGAACTAAAGTGGAAGTAGTTTTTCAGGAGTGGTTCTAATTCTATGATCCACTTTCAAAATGCTGTTTCAACTCAAAATTTGATACAGGGCAGGACAGAGATCTTGAATTATACTATACTTACATCACAGTCCTTAACTGAGATTCATTTATTATAATCTGGTCCTTTACTTCAATTTCAAAAGTACAGACACAGAATTAGCTTATTAAGTTACAGAAAACATTAAAGGGGTTTTCTCATTATGAGACAGTCTTAAATTATCAAACATGGGAAGACAAATTGTTTTTGGTAGCATTTCAATAATAAGACCATACTATTCTTATTAGACATAAAAACAGAAATTCCTCAGGAAGGAGGAAAAATGCTGAAAGGATTAAGGGAAAGTTATTTATCCTATCTATGATTCATCTGTGTTCACAGAATCATACTGTACTTTGAGAAAACAGTTTTCATCTGGAGCAGAAATGGGAAATACCTCAATTTTATAATATGGACTTCAATAGTGGATGCAAATGAAGCATTAAATTTTAAGCTCAGTTTTTAAAAACCTTAGTTGTAATTTTTAAATTTTGATGAAAACCAGTAACTTGCAACATATTTTTAGAATGTTCTGAAGGTAGAAGAAACTTAAATTTTCTAAACCCCTGTATGGATAACGTACTATGAGACACAACACATACCATGTTATCTCAGTCAATCATCAAAGCAATCCTAAAAAATAGGTTATCTCCATTTTAGATTAGAAAATATATTTAGGGAAATTGAAAACTTGCCCAAGAACATACATATAGAAATTGCAGGCACATTAAAAGATGTTATTATAGAGAATAAACCTTGTTATCTCAATTGATTTTTAAAACACTATTATGAAGTAAATATCTCCATTTTTATTAGTAAATAGATTCATGTATTGATTAACTTCCCCAAAGTCACACAGACAGAAAATTACAGAGACTGGATTCAAACACAAATTGTTTTACTCTAACATCCATTTTCTTTCACTATGCCTCAAAAAAAAAAAAAAGAAAGAGTTAAAAATTAAGACTTCTATTCTCTTTTTCACAGTAGGAGTTCAAGTAAGTGATTTTACTATATACCAGAATCTAAACAGTTATTTGTATATAGTGGAAAAAGTAAATTATTTTAAGGGGGGGAAAACACCCCTAAACACAGAATGGCTGATATTTGTTACTTCTGAGATTACAGATATACAAACTGTACATATTTATAATATGCAGTTTGATAAGTTTTGACATATTGATACCAGTGTAAAACCATTGCCACTACCAAAATGATGAACATATCTATCACCTGCAGAGACTTCTTTGTAGCCTTTTGTAATCTCTACTTTCTGTCCATCCAGGTCCACCATCTTACTGCCAGACAACCACTTATCTGTGCGTGGGTGTGTTTTTTAAAAAATTTATTTTCATTCATTCATTATTTTTTTAGCTAGTGTGTGACAGCTCCAGGGTTTGGAAGGGACAACTGGGCCCTTCAAACATGGGGACAACGCCTTTCAGCAATTCTCTCCCTGCACTATCAATGGCCAAGGCACAGGCAGCCCATGATCACTTTTGGATTTAGGAGTGTGTTTTTAACTACAGGCTATTTTGCATGTTTTAGAATTTTGTATGAAAATTGTGTCTGCTTTCTGTTACTATTAGCAAATCTGCATTTTCTAGATTCTTAGATGAAAATAGTGTGTACTGTTTTGTGTGGTTTCATTCATGCTGCATCGTCATCTTGAGATCTACTGATATTTTTATGTACTGATAGTTCATTCCTTTTAACTGCTGAGTAGGATTTCATTATATACACTATAATTTGTTTATTTGGCTGTTAATGGGCATTCTGGGTTGTTTCTAATTTTCTCTAATACAAATAACATTGCTATACATTTGTGTATAAATTTTCATATAGATATATGTTTTCATTTTTCTTGGGTGAATGCCTAGGAGTGGAATGGCTGGTTCCTATGGTATATATATTCAGTGTTTTAGGAAATTGCTGGCTTATTTCATTCCCAGAAACAATGTATGAAAGTCCCCTTGTTCCACATCCTTAACACTTGGTATGGGTCCATCTTTTAAATATTAATCATTTTAATACTTGTACAGTGGTACTTCATTGTGTTTTTAATCTTCATTTCTTTAATAACTAATGATGTTGAGTATCTTTGCATATGCTTTTTGAAAACTCTGGTGAAGCCGTCTGTTCAAATCCTTTGCCCACATTTCCCACTGGACTTCATTAATGCAAAGATCCAAGAAGATACAAACATGTACCAATGCTCCCTAATATAAATAAAAAAAGTCTTGTATCCATTAGAAATAAGCAATATACAACACAACATTCCCCCAAACAATAAGATAGTGCTCTCTAATTTTACATTCTCCATTTAAAGGTTTAAATAATAAACCTTTATTATATCATAAATGAAACAATTTGTTATACTACAGACTAATTTTTTTTAAAGATTTCATTTCTTTAATATTTAGACAGAGGGGAAAGGAGGGAGAAAGAGAGGGAGAGAAACATCAATGTGTGGTTGCCTCTTGCGCACTCCCAACTGGGGACCTTGGCCTGCAACCCAGGCATGTGTTCTAACTGTGAATTGAACCAGCAACCCTTTGGTTTGCAGGCTGGCACTCAATCCACTGAGCCACACCAGCCAGGGTCAGACTAATTTTGACAGGATAATCTGAATCATTGGGTTAAATCTACAATACAAAGAAATTTTTAATTTATCAATTTATCTGCATTAACAATTTCTATGTTATATACATTGACCATAACATATTGAAATGAACACATTACAGTATTTTACATTGACTGAAAAAATGAAATAATACCTTTGAGAAGTCCAGAGTTATCAATGGGTCCAGGATATACATTTTGATCTCCCATCTGGTATTTGTCCCAGCTGTCAAAGCCAACATATTTTTTCCACTGTTTGAACCAGCGACTATCAACTAGGTACCTAAAAATGAAAAATCAATAAAGGACAATCAGAAACCATAGAACAGCACAGAAGCTATTTCTGATATTTCACTTTATATTAAAGTATATACTCACTTTAAAAAGAATAATTTTAATGTCACAATATCTGAAAGAAAAATATTTCATTCATATAAAGTATTATTTCTATAAATATCTACTACTAGAAGTAGTAACATACAAATTTAAAAAAATTAATAGCCCTTTGAAAAAGTGCAAATAATAACTCTTCATTAAAATATCTGCCAATTGAACAAAAATTCCAATGGTCATAAAAATCAAAACAAATTTTAAAATGCAGTATGATAAAATATAAAGAAATAAGAAAAATGGTTCTTTTAAAAAAACTTATAGTATATTAATTTATATTTTACTTTATCTTTTCTGGAGTAAGAAAAGCAATTATTAAAGGTTTGCAAGAGTGATTATAATAATTACCATCAAAGGTTTTTAAAAAAAACTTTAAAAACAATTAGCTTCTTTACCAAAAAATGTTAATAACAATACTGAATCCAACTGTTTCTCATATAGTAAATCTACTAGAACAAGCAGGATTGATTTTTGATTGATTTAAAAAATGTTTTACACCAAGCATTTTAAGTATCAATGAAACTATATTCATATTATTTTCAAATACCTAGATTTAGTTTCTCATCAGATGACCAGTAACAGGAAATTTAAAATAATGGTTCTCTAACAAAGAACATTTAAAAAAATCATAAATGTAAAGAAGTTTAGCCCTGGCTAGTGTGGCTCAGTGGATTGAGCACTGGCCTGTAGACCAAAAGGTTGCTGGCTCAATTCCCAGTCAGGGCACATGTTTGAGTCGTGGACCAGATCCCAGGTTAAGGGTGTGCAAGAAGACACTGGCAGATGTTTCTCTCCCTCGTCCTCCCTCCTTTCCCCTCTCATTAAAAATAAATAAAATCTTTTTAAAAAAGAACTTTAAAATCTAATTTATTCCAAATATTATACTTATTATGAAATACTACTTTGTCACTAGTTCATAATTATTTTCTTTTTCAGAAACATTTTTTCTCACATTTAACCAGGTTCAATCACAAAAAAAATCAAAACTAAACAAGTTAACAAGTAAAAAAAAAGTAAAAAAGTAAAAGTAAAAAAGTTCAACAAGATGTGTAGGACCCATGTGTACCTCGATAACACAGGTAACCAAGATTTTAGGTCATCATTCTGATGTTTCTGTGCTCATTACATACAGCTCTATAGAAATATAATGCTATAACTATGTCTGAAATTCTCTGAAGCAAATACATGAACCTAACAAAACCCCAGAGTTCTTACAGAATATTAACAGTTTAATTCCCTAAAAGCGGATATAGCAGAATTTCTATACCTGAGCCCTACAAACCCACTATTATGGTTATGCAGCTGAAAGCCCTCAAATGGTAAAATTTTAGGTTTATGAGGGAAAAAAATGTTGAGATACTAAGTCATAAGTAAACCCTGTTTCTAAAATAAAACAGTTTAGACCAGCAATGAGTTTATATGTTAAATTGGTAATAAAGTTTACTAAATTGCATTTCACCCACCATAAATTTTTTACTTTCTCATTGTAATTTAAACAAGCTATTTAGACACTTCATTTGTTTTCTCTGCAAATAAATGTCATACTAAGTAGCTTTTCTCCTATTCTATTCATCTTCTTGTCTATCACTGTTTCAATATCATAGTCTTAGTTCTTTAATCAGGATGTTTTTTAGGGCAAGTTCCACCTGCTTGTTTGTGTTGCAAATTGTCTTAACTATCTTTGTCCATTTGCTCTTCCACATGAATTTTAGAAATAGTTTATCAAGTTCCACACAAACACACATACACAAAAACAGCTTAAGATTCAGACTGGAATTGTTTTGAACTTATAGATTAACAGTAATATTATAGTTAAAAATGTCATTTATAAAACTTACTTTAAAAACTATTAGTAGAATCCTATCAAAATTCTATCTTTATTTATTTAAAAGATAGTTCTAAATGATGAGGCTTTATCCCCCAAAGTATTTAATAATTCTTCATAGTTATAGTGGAGATTTGTACTGGGCAGTATTCACCTGATGCCTAACATGATACTACTATGCATTTGATGAATATTTAGCTGCTGTCAACACTACCTTCAATTGCAAAGGAGCATCATGTTTATATTACAGGCCACCTATTTATCTTGTGGAATTTTGTGCTAAGGAAACATGAAGGAAATATAAAAAATGGGAGTACCTACTACAGAAATAATATTTAGTCTTCTTATATTTCCTCATGAAAGACATTATAAGCAGATAAATGAAAAGCTTTATTTCAAGACATTTATTCATACACAGATATGCTGTACTGTAAAAACACTACTTCTAATCTATGAATCTGCCAAAATTTCAATTCTTTATTTTTTTTAAATCCTCACCCAAGGGTATGTTTATTGATTTGAGAGACAGAAAGGAAGGGAGTGGGGGAGGGATATAGTAAGAGGAAGAGGGGGAAGGAATCAGTGAGGGAAGGGGGGGAGTGAGCAGGGAGTGGTGGAGAGAGGAGGAGAGGGAGGAGAGAAACCTTGAGCAGATGCCCCCCCCCCCCAACATGCCTTGACTGGGGATCAAACCCACAACCTTTTGGCATATGGGACAATGCTCTAAAAACTGAGCCACCTGGCCAGGGCCCAATTCTTCCATTTAAACTGATAAAAGCCTAGAACAGAATCAATAGCTCACCAAGATTACAAATGAATGAACAGAGACCTGAATTTATACATTATCAACAGTACTTTCAATCTTTGGTATGTGCTTCGGGTCCAGATAAGCCTAATTTTAGCTTCTGAGTTTCTTTTCTGGAATAGTTGTAACTATTTGTTAAGGCTGATATTTCATGACTTTTATTCTTCACAAATAGTCATAATTATTATTAAGATGAAAACTGAATTCTTAACATTGCCTAATTAAGTCTCACATGATCTGTTGCTCCTTCCCTACCTTTCTAGCCTCAGTTGGTACCATTTATCTTTATGCTGAGATCTAGCTATAAGACGCTTTTTTCAATTTCTGGACAATGTTCTGCCTCATGGCTTCTTCTGCCATGAAGAACATGGAATGTTCTATTGTTTTCAACACCTAGTTAACTCCTATCATCTTCTAGATAGCCTAAATGTCACTTTCTTGGGGAACCTTCTGATAAGCCTCTCCCTGTTTCCTCTCAATTTGGAAAAAACAAAGCAAACAACCCCCCTCCCTGCCAAAAAAAAAAAACCAACAACAACAAAAAAAAAACAAAATGGCAATCTCAGTTTACTAGATATCAAGACTTTATTAAATTATAGAAATTACTTATTATCATTTGAGCTTTACTCTTGGGCCAGGCATGTACTCCTAAGTACTTTACTATATTGGCTCATTTACTCTATACAATGAAGTATAGGCATTTTTAAAATTTCATAGGCATTTAGAAATGAATTTGCCCAAGGTTACAAAGTTAGTGCCAGGCCTGTGTTAAGAAAATGTGATACTGGCATATGGAGAAGTAAAAAGACCACTGAAAACAGCACAATTAAACAAGAACCAGGCTCATATATGTGGAGCTATGATGTATG